CGCAAAATTTCAAATTTCAATTGACATGATCCGATTCATGATCCATGATCCGGTTCGTGATCCGATCCTTGATCTGATCCGTGATCCGGCCCTTGCTCTGATCCGTGATCCGATCCGTGATTTGATCCATAATACGGTCCGTGAACCGATCCGTGATCCGATCCGATCCGATCCGATCCGATCCAGATTTTATCGACGCCGGATGAATATAAAGCCTAGCCTCATTCTGACGAGCAACTCAACATGGCGGCTGCACGTGGGGGAAGTGGAAGTGGGCAAAGCCTGGAAGATCTCTTGGGTAACGAAGGCACAACAGCTACTTTCGTTTTCAACGCTATTATGACCGCAGCAGCTCAGCCACTAACATGTGTTCGACTTCTGGTGCAGGTAATGGACTATAAATGTCAAATGACACAGTGATATTTTACTTTGATACTTTACCGGTGTCCAAGCGGATATTTACCCTCCGGTCCAAATCCGCTGGCGGATTTAGACCCCCTTCCCTCAACAAAACAGTGTGAAAACATCATCCTTAACATTCTATTGCCGTCACAATCTAGGATTTTCGTTAACGAGAATGAAATGGCTTAACTCTGGTATAAAAACGAGCCGTGAAACTTGAAAACGTTTGATTTTTGTTATTCTCTCGAAAAAGGTGGGAAATATGAAATGATAGATATGCTAACACTAAGTGTGAAACTTCAGTGGAATCCCAATTGCTTGGGTCCTCGATTTGTCGATCGTAACCCTCGATAACTCGAACCAAAAGTCGTTCCCCTTTCCCCAGTCAACCTAATTACTCCAACTGATTTTCATTTCCCATGGAGACTCGAAAAATCGGGAATCCACTGTTCGCATCCTACAACGAAATTCTGCTGCTCCACCCATTACTGTTACATTAAGTTTTTCAATTTTTCGTTAGCCGAGAACGCGTACTAAAATTTACAACCAGTTGTGTTTGTGTTACTTGTTGTATTCCTAATGATTGAAAATAAGTTAAACTAACAATCCTTCTAGGTTTTTTAGTATAATTAGTGTTCGGTCGAGTGGATGTTCAATAACCTACAATAGGCTTTACGAACGACTTGTAGTAAGAGTAGTTACTTCGTTCTTGTTCAGAAACTGTTTAAATATGTTATTTATAATACGAAAATCAGACGGAGTTATTTTTTAGACTGGATGCAATACTCTCCACTATTGTTATGACCATTCATATCAATGTTGATTCACATCAGAAGAAGCAAGGATTTATTGCAACAATTTCAATAGTTCAAATGCTGTAGTTTGGTTGTATTTAATTCTTGCATATACTGTACAACTCGCTATAATGAATGCAGTAGAATTGGAATAAAATGGCTAATTATTTTTATCTCTACTGAAGAATTTTGTGTTGTGATCGAAAAGAACATAGACAAAAAGCTTGCACATAGAATAAGGTACCAAATGTGATACAAATGATGCTAAAAGGAAAGTTTGGTAGGGGGGTCCAAATCTGCATCGGGGGGTCCATATCCTCTGTGACACTGGCACCCAAAGTTCAACTTAATGTTTGTGTGACATCTCTCAGTATTCATATTTCTATCCTGTGGAACCTCCTTCCTTCATTGTAACAGGGAATTTTTTGGTACAAAAGTAGTATATTGGCTTCTTTCCACACCAATATTTAAATATTCATGAGAGGGAACAAATGCATTGGGCCAATAGGTGTTCACTGAACTTAAGGCTGGATGAGGACAAATGTCCACAGGAGACAAAACTTCCTCTATAAACTAAAAACAAAACTCTCTCTTCTTACTTGCTCTGAAAATATCATCAGGGGTAAAATACGTATAAATTCGAAGTGAGGGAGTGGTTGCTTTATCCCAATATAATGGGTTCCATGAAGTTGGGGGGGGTAGTGAGGGTAGTAGAGTGCATAGTAATGTGATCAACATGATCATAGCAAAAAGAACAGCTGGAGTTTGTTGATAACAAGGAGAAGTCTACTCCTCTGGTAGTCTTCATTTTGAATCAGTAAGGTCTCGCAGCTACAGCTGTAGGTAACTCAGGTCAGATATTACACCACTCATGGTCTTAGCCTTACAAATGAATTAGAGCATTGTTTTAATCAGTAAAATGTGGCAGGTTTGTTTGGTTTGGTGCTCAACATCAGATCAGCAGAGGCTGACTTATTTTCAGACATTAGATTGGTATTTTGGCAAACCTGATGATCTTCTCAAATACTGAACTTTATTACCCTTTATACTCTAACATCAGAATCCATATTCTCCATACCCTCCTTTATACATTTGCTTTGGTACTGACAAGGAGAATTCATTTAACATATAAAACTTCTTAGTTTGGCAATCATTTCCTTTTTTTTTCACAAATCTCATTAAGTTAGTTTTGAGAGTTTGGTATTGAATCAACTAATATTCCTCTACATGTAACTGATACTTTTCTCTATTCTCATTGCTCTTCTGCTTGATATTGTATTGATACTGTAAGGAGAAATTCTGTCTTGGTCACTTATGGGAGTTAAAGGTTTAATTAGAGGAGGCTTAGAACTTGGGTGGCAAGGCATTGTCAGTGGAGAGCTATCTCCACAGGTCATTTTAACTGATCACCTGAATTGTATATCACCTGATACTTTTAGTCACGGAGTGTTTAAAATGAAATTATTTTAAATTTGTGTTAAGGTTGGACATGAACCTATTTCTCCAACTGAGTTCACAACATTTTACCAGTATGGTAAGGAATTTAAGAAGATTATTATTCATTATTTCTTCACACTAATTCATTAAAAGACATATTAAAAAAATACAGCACAGTATTACCAGTACATAAAAAACTACTTAAATGTAAGCTTTGAGGAGATTGATACATGGCTTGCCTTGTGTTTGCAATTAAAAGAATCAAATAGAGCAATTATCAATCAGATGTTGGAAGCAAACTGGGATTGTCTATTTTTTTACTTTCCTGGTGGTTGGTCTGAAAAACCCTTGCCACCCTCTCAACAAATCAGATGCAAAACTGGAACTTAAATTTCAACTTTCTCACATGTATTTTCCCACACTTCCAGCTGTGCTTTTTTCACTTCAAGTTCTGATTTGGCTCCATGTGATTCTTATTTTAATTTCTGATAAGCCATTTTCTGATCACTTATTGTATTTGGTTATGTGGCTACAGTGAAAAAGCATTATAACGAAATTCAGATTAGTTTTCTGGCAAATGACTTACATTTGTCCTTTGCATTGTCTTGAAAACAATCATGATGGACAGTTTCTGTAATATAGATGTATACTTTTTTGATCAGCATGTGAAGATGACAACACAATTTCTAGTTGATAATATGTATTTATATAGAGTGCAAAGGCACTCTAGAGCTATTGTTGGAAAAAAAAATAAACACCAAGATACTCATGGTAATCAAGAAAAGTAACCTATTTGTTCAGGTTTCTTTGTTTTTTTACCTCCTTATCCTACAGCATGTCATGTAAAGAAGATAAATGGATGGCATGGACTCTACAGAGGATTGTTGCCAAGGTAAACTATATATGCTTTGGTTTCCAGAGGTTGTAACTTTTTTTGTCTTGGTGAGAAACCTTGTTGATTAATCAGCAAGAGAGATCAGAAATAAAAATGTTACAGGTTAAATACTGTAATGACAGGAGGCCTCAGTCCTTGTTACTAAGCAAAAATCAAGTCATTTTTTAACTTGTTTGTTTGTATGGGATTAGTTTCTAGTAATTAAGACACCTAGTGTTTTAAAATGATTCCTCAGGCACTGCACATCCCATCCTGTGTAATAAAGTCATGTCATCAGGGGAATTCCAAGATCATGATATTGTTTTTCAATAAATGGACCAGGTAAAGAGGCTCTCTTGTCTTTAGCTCTTAAACTAGAATGGTGACTTATATTTTTTGTTGCAGAATTTTGGTGAATAAATTATCTCCTTTTAATTAGAGAAATTAAAAAAGAAATCATTGAAGAGAAAAAAAGATGGTTAAAACCATACAAAAGGCCCATTACTCAATGATGAAAGTTATGACCTTTAAAGCAATCACTCAAGGAATGTTTTTTCATCTAAAATTGCATGATTTTTCCACAAATTATGTATCAAATTGTTTTATATTATGCATCAAATTGTTTCTACCTATCAAGTTTTGTTCAAGCTTTACTTTAAAACCCTTGCCTCCAACTACCTCAAAATGTATTTTGAACCAATGAAATGATGCATATGATTAGTGCCTGTACAGGCATTTGTGGAGTATAAATTTGGCTCATCATATCTCTTACACAAACACTGAGTGATCTTTCTTTTGAAATGTTTTTTTTCCAAACAAACATTGGTAGGAAGAATTTAAGGAAAGTTTAAAAGAAATTTTTTGATGAGTTTCTTTTCTGAGGAATCACATTTATTAATTAATGGTTAGTGCGCTGGGCTCCGGTTGTAGAAGTCCACATTCAAAACCTGGCTGGGTCATTGTGTTGTGATCCTGGGCAAAACAATTCACTCTCACAGTACCTTTCTTTACCCAGGAGTATAAATAGGTGGTGGTTAATTGTCAGGAAAGCCTGATGAAATACAGGGGGTAACCTTGAGATGGACTTAAGCATCCCATTCAGGGGGAAGTAGTAATATTTCTTTTGGCTTCATGCTATGGAAACCAGGATAAGCTGCACCTGGATGGGCCTCATGGCTCTAGTAAAAAAAACTCTATAATGTGTAATTTCTGCCAAAAAAAAGTGGGTTAAAAGTAAATAGGTTGATTTGAATGTTGATATTCTATAATAAAAGTGCTCTCACTTAATGTCTCCACATAAAAGGACCTTTAAGTTTGCTCATCAGTAGTAGTAAATATTTTGTGGGATTTATTTTTGTGTGTTGAAGTATCTGCTCTCTTCTTGGCTTAATTTTATGAGGTGTAAGTCCTTCTAATCTCCAAGGTAATTTTCATCATTTTTGGGAAACTTTATTTCTGGTATTACATTAATTGTTCCACTATAACTGTTGTTAGGGTCTACTCATCAATGATTGGAACTCTTGTAAACAATACAATGCTACAGGTATTACTATGGATTCACTTAAACTATAATTAGTTTACCACATTCCTTCTGTAGTTTGATTTTTTCAAAGTATATAATGTGAATTTCTTACCTTACATCATGCAATTGTGATATAGTCTTATGTGAATTGTGTATTGAATAGGCTATGGATAAAAAAGACAATGCCCTTGTCTCCCTGGTTCCTCCAGAAAATAAGGTGGGGTTGCTCTTTTTTATTTTAATATGTTATAATTTATCTTAATTACAATTATTTGAATGGTACAGCTCTGTATGTTAATTTGTTTTTCTCTGTTTCTTCTTGAAATTTTTAGAGCAGGCGAGAAGAATTGCTAGAGTTTTTTGAAGAGGTATTTTGAGGTATTTTTAGCACAATGGTTTGTACACCAAACTCTGGACTGAGGAGTATGGGTATGGGTTTAAAACTTTGAATAACTCTTTACACCCTAACATCAGTATGCATAATCTCCATACTCTTCTTTGTACATTTGCTAGGGTGCTGAATGGGAGAATTTGTTTGAAAATCAATAGCTTCTTTAGTTGGTGATCATTTCCTTCATTCTTGTGACCTTGATATTTGATTCAGGGTGATATTGTAAGGAGAAATTAGATGCTAGTCACCCTTATGGGTCAACGGGTCAAGGAGGTGTCTGTCAGACTCTGGCACACTTTGCTACCTCTTAGTCAATGCATGCATGTATCGGAGGAATAATTATAAATGGTTACCTGTAAACTGTAAGGAAAATGTGATGGAATGCAGGGTGGGGGGTTTATTGTGCAATGGATCAGGATCATATCCATAGGTTAAGAAGCCATACTCCTAGTGGATTTATGTGTTGAAAGAAAGGATAAGTACTGAAGGCCTGGTCTGGGTCACTTACCTCAGTGTTGATGTTAAGACTAACAAATTTTTTTTTGCTATTAAGACCTGTGTACAGGCTGTGGCAAAATGCAGTGGTATCATTATCAGTCACCCATTTTATGGTAAGGTAACAAAACTGAACCTTAGATCATAATGGCTAGAATTTCAATTGAGGGTGAGATATCTAGGGCTATTAATTTCTAGGTAACAAAATTAAAGTAGATAAGTAGTCTATAATTTCTGTAATTTGTATTTTTATTTGTTTATTTATTTATATATGTTTTTAGCAAATATTGATTGACCAATGACACCTCTCTAATTTAATTTCAAGTGCTCTCAGTCAGAATGATGGTTCAGTTTGTTGGTCAAGAAACTAATTACAGGTCAGTTCTTTTTCCACATTCTGCTACATTAATTTTCATCTCCATTTGACAATTTTTAAATTTTAAGCGTACTTTTTTCCTTGAATTGGCAGATTTTCTCAAAATTTACTCATTTTTCAAATTCAACTTACTATTTGGAGATGTAACGGCACCTTTTTTATTGTTTTAACCTTTAACTCCCAACATTTGATTATTAAATCTCCCCTCCAGCTGCAACACATATCATTGGGAATTAGTTATGAGACTAATTTGGTGTTAGATTAAGATAATGACTTCTGCCCAATAAGTTTCAATATTCTCATTACATGTTTGGATAATGTATGGAAATTATAGAGAGAAGTTACGTGTTTACTACTTCTGGGAGTTAAAGAGTTAAGATATCCCACACACAGGGATGATAAGTTGAATGTTCCTTTCATTACTTGAATGTGCCAACCATGGACAAGACTTGTACATGTACATGTTAAATATCTTTATCTTATTGCCAGTGTGTTAATAAATCTGTTTTCAGTGGACTATGTGCATCAGTTAAAGAGATCTATAACAATGAAGGACTTGGTGGATTTTTTAGGTAGGAAATGAATGTTCCGTTACTGACTAATTATGGCATTAAAATTAAGAAAACTTATATTTCATGTTCTTTATCCTTTGTGACTATGATTTGAATCATTATGTAGTTTCTTGCAATAATCATCAGTTTTTTTCTAAGTGGAATAATTGAAAAGTTGAATCAGCAATAGTTGCACTCTTAGCTGAAAATCAATCAAATGTAGCCAAGTGGTCCAGGCACAAAATGTAGCTTGAACAAAAGAAGTGTTACTTTTAATTAGAAATTTCTCATTCAGCAAGTACTTTGCTTAATTCAAAAGCAACTATTAACAATGATAGTGGCTTTGCAAAGAAGAGTTTTGTGGCTATTGGTTGAGAAATAATTCAACTAGGAATCACCTAACAATAGTATTTAATTTGTGTCCTGTTAAATGTCATCTATTGCTGTCAACAGTGGTATCATTCCTCGTATTGTTGGAGAAGTCCTGTCCCTTTTGTTATATCAAGGAGCTTGCTTCTTGGTCAGCAAATATGCTATTGACAGTGAGGCAAGTCTTATCATATCAAAAATTAATATATATGATTTATTTGTACTTTTTCACCAGATGCATATTTGTCTGTAACCCAGTACTTAAAAATGATAAAATTAACTCAGTCTTCACATGTTTTTCATGCCTTCATTGTATTTCACATCAACTTTTCACATGCATGCCAAGTTTGCCATTTGGAAGGCAGGTTAAAGGCATTTGAAAAGCAAAAGAAAGATATTATACCTTCTTCATAGTAATTCACACGCCTTTTAAACATTTCTTGAAGCCAACATCATAAAAAACTGAGACTTCCAATGTGCATGTGCTTTAATTTACAACCTTGATGGTGATTTGTGATTCAAGATAAACAAACAGGTGGTAAACCTCAGTCCATCTCTAAAGCACTTGTTATTGATTTTGAAGACAAAAGATAAATTTCTTAAGTAGCATGATCATCCAACTGACTACAGCTGTCTAGTTTGATTCATGCTGTGAGATCAGTAGATAATATCATTTATTTGTATTCAGCTTTATCAGCAAGTTAATGTGATAATTAAGTAACAGTATGCCTTGACAAACCTAACAATGAAGTAAAAACGATTTGTAAATTTGCAGGTCGGTAGAAGTAAAGAAGTAGAAGTGTATAGATATGTACTTTTCCAGGTATAGCATACCTGATAGACATCTTTAATTTGCCCCAAAAAAATTTCATCACCTTTTGAATCAAAGAAGAAGCACCAGTATTTGGAAAAAGTATGGATTTATTCTACATATTGATTCATTATCAAATTTAACAAAATCCACTTAGGCTAAGGATCTTACCACTTTTTCCCTCATAAGATAAGTTCTATGTAATATGTCATGTTTTAACTCAAGTTATCTGGTATAAGGGCTTTACATGTACAGTTATTTGAAAGACCAGTCCCTACTAAACTTATAATAGAAGATGCATGTTTTGAATTATTTGGATACGTCGCTACTTTTAAATAATCATATTATTGTACAAACCAACCAGCTAACATGACTTATATTTTGCCATGATTATTATCATTATCATTGATATATTTTCTAAGTCTGATGAGGATTAATACATGACTGATGGGTGTTGCGCTCACAGCATGTCAAAATTGGATTTGTCGTAAACGCGCATGTAATTACTTCTCTGATTCCCAACCGTGCCTGTAGAGCAAAACCGGTGATTTTGAAAACGTTTTGAAGTAGAATGTGTTTAGGAAACCAGAGTAATTTAGTCTCCATCGAGTTAGTCACCAGATATCTCGCGCCTGCTCGAATCAGCCGAATCGAAAGGTCTTGGTTGAAACTTTGTGTTATGTGCTTTGGTGAGAAAATTCAACATTCACAATAACTCTCCGCCAGGTGTTTAAATAGTTACCGGTGAACTGTCAGAGAAATCTGACAAACTACTTAAGGGTGCCCCACCAGAAGAAGAAGAAGCGAGGCTCTAAGTACATGTGCCATCATACCACAGATACCGGAACATACGTTAATGGCTGTGGGAGTTATAATTAGTTTCGTGTGCGGGGAATAAATAGCCTTTATCTCAAATTGCTTTTCACTTTCTCGAAGGATGTTGAATGTAATGTTTCTTCTCTGTATTAGAATGTAAGCTTTTATTATCTCCTGATGGAGTTCTGTCGATATAGATACCGTTCTTACGCATTAAACTGACGTGCATACTTAAAGAATGATGTGAAAGTTTTAGAAATCAATTCATTTGTATCTCGAAGTTTGGTTCTCTCTTTAGGACAACATCAAGCATAGAATGTGAACTTCTCGAAATAAGAAATTCGAGGGAGGAAAGAGAAACCGGACAACTTTTAATCTGGTTAGTAATTCAGTTAACCCCATCCGCCCTAAAATCAGTATGCATATTCTCCAAACTGTTCCCTATACATTATCTACGGTGCTGATGAGGAGAATTTGTTTCATAATCCAGAGCTTCTCTGGTTGACCATATCCTTTATTCTCATGACCTTAATGTGTGATTTGGGGAAGATATTGTGAGGAGAAATTAGATGCTAGTTACTCTTAGGGGTTAACGGTTTACCCTTTTACTCCCAGATCTCACTAGCAATTCTCCTTACTGTCTGCCATATTCTTGTTAACATCTCACTTTGTTATACTATTTACTGCATAATTTCATTTTATTTCTCATTATACAACTGACAATGGATGATGTTTCATCCGAAACATGTCTTGTTTTCATTAAAAAAAATATTTAAAAAATGAACTTCAAAAGCATCGTGTGGTTGATCAAATCGATATAAACGTCTTTGCTTGTCTTCACCAGGTGCTTTTTCTACCTTTATTGATTTACTTCATCAATTTGCCTTTGTTGTACTTCATTTTTTGTCAAGTATCTCAGCAACAGTTCGCAGCCGAATTCATCAAATTATGACCTGTATGGCCCCTCACCTGCTCGTTCCTTTTACACTCGTATTAGAGTCTAACGCGATGGGGCGCTAGGGCCGGGAAAAGGTGTAAGGCGAAGCGAGAGGTGGTTTAATGAAAAACTGCTCTTTGCCCGAGTTAGGTGGGGCTGAACGAGAAATTATTTGACTCTCTGCCAAGCCAAATAATTTCTCGTGCGGCCGCCCACACTGATGGACTGAGTGGTAGGACAATGATATTAGTTTGGAGATTTGAAATTGGATCAACTAATATTCCCCTAATTGACACGTTTTCTTTATTCTCATCACTCGTCTGCCAGTAGGTAGTAAGGAGAAGTTCTGTCTTGGTCACTAATGAGAGTTAAAGGGTTAAGCGAAGAAATTCCGCACGGTGTCAAGGCAGATTTATTTACCATGTACCTGCTTTTTATGTGATGTACCTTGCGCGCCATAATTTCTTATAAAAAACAAAACGAAACAAAACAACCAAACAAAAACAATACTAGCATACAAATGTATGTACGACTGATGTGCTGTGAACGCGTAAATCTGGATTTAACGGACTGCAAGTAGAAACTAACCGGGTCGAAAGAAAAAAAAAAGAAATGGCATATTCCCTTACTTTAGAGCGCTTTTGGTGTGATTAATCTTCTTCTTTGTTTCTGTTGATAATAAAACACTGGTGTCAAAGAGTTACGTAATGGTTATCGTACATGAAAATTCATCTAACCTATCTATTATAGCGATGTTTTAGCCCGACAAATATTCCCATTACTTCGACATATTTCTAGAGAATATCTTGAAAAATTGATTAAAATGGCAAGCCTAAAACTATTGTTGCTAGGATTAAGCTGATAAAAAAAATTATCTGCTATTTTCCTTTTTTCGTTCGCAGCCGAAAAAAACGATACATTTTTGGATATTACGAAGCACTTATTTAAAGAAAGTCGTACATGTACTCTCATAACATTCTTTTTTCTTCAAGGGCAGGGTCAAGAATAGAATGAAAGCAAAAATTTGGAAATCAAGAGATACAAGGGAGGAAAATGAAGATGGAGGGAAGCATCCAATAAGGTTTGTTATTTAGTTTGTGACGACTGATTAAGTTATGTATAGTTTATGGGGCTGGTTTGCGTCCAGTAAACTGAACATTTTATTTTGCTGAAAACAAAAATATTTCGTAGTTTTCTCCATTCCCCAATCTATTCGATGTCTGTTTGAAGGAGATGACTTACAGTACTGTTTGATGAAGTGATATTACTGCAGGCAGATACTTTGTTGATGGTAAACATTGGTATCGAAGAAATTCTTCGTCATTGTCTGTAATGTTATAATTAAAAGAAACTTGCGCGTGAAATATGTTCATAGAAGAGGTGACTTAATATTGTCAATCAATCAAACATTGATGATAAACTTTTTCAACCTAAAATTCTGTTCGTTTTGAAGGTTTTTTGAGATCTTTTAATGTGATCTTTCAGTAAGGGGCGTCCTGAAAAGAAATTTGTCGTTATCAGTAATCGCTTTTTCGAAAATTTGAGCAGAATTTTTGATAACAGTCAAATAATTTTTTTTCCGAGAAATTGCCAAAAGTCTGGCAAGTTTTTCTGAAGATCATCGATCAACCCCCGAGCAATTATTAAGAGACGAAGAATAATCCTTAATTTTTACACCACCTAAAGCTAGGCTATAAGGACTCTAATAAGACCAGTAGTGCTAGTTTAAACATACTAGATGGCTTATCTGACGAAATAAAGCTAACCGTGTGCGTTTTATGTTACTGATGAATTTCTTTATTGGATTTGCAGAGTCGGAAGATGAGGATGAAAACAGGGACTCAAAGAGGATTGGATAATTGGAATGGGAAATGCACAGGAGATTGATGATGGAGAACTCGGCAAACTGTAAGTTGTTTGACTAACTTTACAGTACGAAATTAGAGAACGATGCCAAAATACTCATTAGCTTGACTATCCAAAATATTCTGATGATAACAGCGTTGTTACAAAAACTACAAAGGTAGAAAACAACAACCATTGTAAAGTATGTTTTCCGATGTACAGTAACAGAACTTTCAGGGAATGTTTTCTGCGCTGAATAAATTTAACGAAAAATCCTCTTAAGGTTAAAGAATGACGAATCACATTTTCCAGTCGAGAGGAAGTCCCAGCTTAACCTCGTAACTCCTATGAGTGACCAAGAAAGAATTTCTCCTTACAATATCTACACAATATCAAGCAGACAAGTGATGAGAATGAAGTAAAATGTCAATTGGGAGATTATAGTCGATCAAACACCAAATTATCCGAACTGACATCATGAGAATTGGTTGGCAGACAGTACGGAGATTTACTAATCAGATCTGGGGGTGAAAAGGTTAAATTGATTGAACGGCTGTTATTCGAGAGCTAGTGGTCCAGTTAAAAGGTCATTTCAAATAAAAAAAAGTTCCTAGACAGATAATTAGTCCCTAAATTTTGTAAATATTTTCAAGTCAAACATTTAAGACAAGTCACTGAAAACCGTTTCAACTCAGAAAATTTACTTTCTTAACCATTCACAGAACTCTTTGGATATCAGGTAGTCTCAGATCGACTGGGTTAATGTAGT